GCACATTGCCTGTCTCTTCTATAGGGACTCTGCATTGTAAGTGGCACAGCTGGAGGGATGCGGGGATGGCACATTGCCTGTCTCTTCTATAGGGACTCTGCATTGTATGTGTCACATCTGGAGGGATGCGGGGGGTGGCACATTGCCTGTCTCTTCTATAGGGACTCTGCATTGTATGTGTCACAGCTGGAGGGATGCGGGGATGGCACATTGCCTGTCTCTTCTATAGGGACTCTGCATTGTAAGTGGCACAGCTGGAGGGATGGGGGATGGCACATTGCCTGTCTCTTCTATAGGGACTCTGCATTGTATGTGTCACAGCTGGAGGGATGCGGGGGGATGGCACATTGCCTGTCTCTTCTATAGGGACTCTGCATTGTATGTGTCACAGCTGGAGGGATGGGGGGATGGCACATTGCCTGTCTCTTCTATAGGGACTCTGCATTGTAAGTGTCACAGCTGGAGGGATGCGGGGATAGCACATTGCCTGTCTCTTCTATAGGGACTCTGCATTGTATGTGTCACATCTGGAGGGATGCGGGGATGAATAGCACATTGCCTGTCTCTTCTATAGGGACTCTGCATTGTAAGTGGCACAGCTGGAGGGATGGGGGGATGGCACATTGCCTGTCTCTTCTATAGGGACTCTGCATTGTAAGTGTCACAGCTGGAGGGATGCGGGGATAGCACATTGCCTGTCTCTTCTATAGGGACTCTGCATTGTAAGTGTCACAGCTGGAGGGATGGGGGGATTGCACATTGCCTGTCTTCTATAGGGACTCTGCATTGTATGTGTCACAGCTGGAGGGATGCGGGGATGGCACATTGCCTGTCTCTTCTATAGGGACTCTGCATTGTAAGTGCACAGCTGGAGGGATGGGGGGATGGCACATTGCCTGTCTCTTCTATAGGGACTCTGCATTGTATGTGTCACAGCTGGAGGGATGCGGGGATGGCACATTGCCTGTCTCTTCTATAGGGACTCTGCATTGTAAGTGGCACAGCTGGAGGGATGGGGGATGGCACATTGCCTGTCTCTTCTATAGGGACTCTGCATTGTATGTGTCACAGCTGGAGGGATGGGGGGATGGCACATTGCCTGTCTCTTCTATAGGGACTCTGCATTGTATGTGTGGCACAGCTGGAGGGATGGGGGGGGATGGCACATTGCCTGTCTCTCTTCTAGGGACTCTCATTGTAAGTGTCACAGCTGGAGGGATGCGGGGATGGCACATTGCCTGTCTCTTCTATAGGGACTCTGCATTGTATGTGTCACAGCTGGAGGGATGCGGGGATGGCACATTGCCTGTCTCTTCTATAGGGACTCTGCATTGTAAGTGGCACAGCTGGAGGGATGGGGGGATGGCACATTGCCTGTCTCTTCTATAGGGACTCTGCATTGTAAGTGTCACAGCTGGAGGGATGGGGGGATGGCACATTGCCTGTCTCTTCTATAGGGACTCTGCATTGTAATGTGTCACAGCTGGAGGGATGCGGGGATGGCACATTGCCTGTCTCTTCTATAGGGACTCTGCATTGTAAGTGTCACAGCTGGAGGGATGCGGGGATGGCACATTGCCTGTCTCTTCTATAGGGACTCTGCATTGTGTATGTGTCACAGCTGGAGGGATGCGGGGATAGCACATTGCCTGTCTCTTCTATAGGGACTCTGCATTGTAAGTGTCACAGCTGGAGGGATGCGGGGATGGCACATTGCCTGTCTCTTCTATAGGGACTCTGCATGTAAGTGTCACAGCTGGAGGGATGCGGGGATGGCACATTGCCTGTCTCTTCTATAGGGACTCTGCATTGTATGTGTCACATCTGGAGGGATGCATGAATAGCACATTGCCTGTCTCTTCTATAGGGACTCTGCATTGTAAGTGGCACAGCTGGAGGGATGGGGGGATGGCACATTGCCTGTCTCTTCTATAGGGACTCTGCATTGTATGTGTCACAGCTGGAGGGATGCGGGGGATGGCACATTGCCTGTCTCTTCTATAGGGACTCTGCATTGTATGTGTCACAGCTGGAGGGATGCGGGGATGGCACATTGCCTGTCTCTTCTATAGGGACTCTGCATTGTATGTGTCACAGCTGGAGGGATGGGGGATGGCACATTGCCTGTCTCTTCTATAGGACTCTGCATTGTATGTGTCACAGCTGGAGGGATGGGGGGATAGCACATTGCCTGTCTCTTCTATAGGGACTCTGCATTGTAAGTGTCACAGCTGGAGGGATGCGGGGATGGCACATTGCCTGTCTCTTCTATATAGGGACTCTGCATTGTAAGTGTCACAGCTGGAGGGATGGGGGGATGGCACATTGCCTGTCTCTTCTATAGGGACTCTGCATTGTAGTGTCACAGCTGGAGGGATGCGGGGATGGCACATTGCCTGTCTCTTCTATAGGGACTCTGCATTGTATGTGTCACTGGATTGTAATGTCTCTTCTATAGGATGTGTCACAGCTGGAGGGATGGGGGATAGCACATTGCCTGTCTCTTCTATAGGGACTCTGCATTGTATGTGGCACAGCTGGAGGGATGCGGGGATGGCACATTGCCTGTCTCTTCTATAGGGACTCTGCATTGTATGTGTCACAGCTGGAGGGATGCGGGGATAGCACATTGCCTGTCTCTTCTATAGGGACTCTGCATTGTATGTGTCACAGCTGGAGGGGCGGGGATGCACATTGCCTGTGTCAGCTATAGGGTTACTCTGCATTGAATGTGTCACAGCTGAGGGATGCGGGGATGGCACATTGCCTGTCTCTTCTATAGGGACTCTGCATTGTATGTGTCACAGCTGGAGGGATGGGGGGATTGCACATTGCCTCTGTCAGCTATAGGTTACTCTGCATTGAATGTGTCACAGCTGGAGGGATGCGGGGATGGCACATTGCCTGTCTCTTCTATAGGGACTCTGCATCCCGGGAGAGGGACGGCGGGCATGTTGAGTGTCGGGTCCAGGACACCAGAGCAGGTGAGGCGGCTTCCGGCAACTTCCCTCACAGGCGACCTGAGGCCTCTCCTGGACACCTCTAGCCGTGGCCGAGTTCCTGCAGCAGTGCCGGTGCGTGTACTGGGGAATGCGCCGGGTGTGTAGCGCTTACTTCTGCAGTAGAGGAGTACGTTACTCAGCTGCTGAGTTTATGACACAACCCCGCGGAGCAGTGGGATATCGCCCATAAGGGGGCGCAGAATGGGCGCCTAGTGAGGGCAAAATGGACGCACGTGAGGCGACAGGTGGCGCTAATGAGTCGGAAGTTGTTGCTGAGGAAGGCCAGTGGAGTCAGAAGCAGAGCAGAGGTCTGTGGCATCCAATCAGCTTTATCTTTAGTTTTCAAGCCGTAAAGCAGAACTGAAGACAGAAAATAAAGAATTGTGAGCTGATAGACTCCTTATTGCAGAAGAGACATAAATGTCTGCAGAGGCTTTACTGTAACCCTCAGGGCCCCTGCGCAGGAAACCACGAAGGGCCCCCCTAGCTGGGAGACTTTACCTTTGAGCCAAGTGGTGGAGCGCCAGGGCCCGGTCATAAGTGCAGCCTTTGCGACCCTCGTAGTTCCTCCACTGGTGTCAGTAGTTTTATATTTTTTTATTATTTTTTATCATTTCATTTTTTTTTTTACAATATTCTTTTTTACAATTTTTTTAAGGAGCTCCGTCGGGGAGCTTTGATGAGATATCAGGGATCCAAGCAGACGTCTGATGTTCCACCTTTCACACAGAGATGGGAGATTGAGGACACAGCCCTTCATTTCCATCTCTGCAGCCTCAGCTGCACAGAATGGGCAGGAATAGCTCTGTACAGAGCTTCCCATTCATTCACAAACTGAAGCATAGTAAACAGTTTACTACACTTCAGTCATGAGTGGACAGAGGTAGTGATCAGTAAGGATCACTGACTCTGTCCATTCATAACTGAAGTGCAGTACCTTCCCCGCTCTCCATCCTGGGGGGGAAGCCAGCAGCGCTGTGAGGGGATAAGGGGGGCCACGAGACAGTACAGGGAGGACCATAGAAGAGCAGAGGACCAGAGAAAAGCAGGGAACCGGGGAAAAGCATGGGGGGGCCGTAGAAGAGCGTGGGGACCAAAGAACAGCAGGGGGAGGGGGGGGTCGGAACAGAGCACAGGAGAGCCAGGAGAGAGCATAGGGGCCCGCGGGCAGCAGGAGAGAAGCAATACAGAGGAACTGTTCCCTTCCCTCTTCCTCCTGCAGCCACTGAACGCCAGCAGGAGGGAGAGGAAGAGAAGCAGAAATTCAGTGGCTGCAGGAAGAACAAGGAAGGGACCGGTTCCTCTATATTATGCCCTCCTGTACAGGTGTAGAGGGGAGCTGTACAGCCCACCTGGAGCATGGGGCTGGGTCACAATGGTGACCCCTGCAACCCCTGTAGTTACTCTCTTGAATGTCTGCAGTAAAATCCACCTACTGGCCTGCGCCCCATCCCCTGTAGAATGTACATAGAGCTGTGTTTCCATTTCAAAAATTGTGGTGTGCTGATGTAAATGACTCCTATGCATATGTGGGAGACATCATCCCACACCAGTCAGTCAATCAAGATGGCCGAGGACCAATACCCAGAAGAAGCTGTGGAAGAAGATGCAGATGAGGAACCTTGCGGGTGTTGGAACGTTGGAGCATAGCTGAGTATTTGTACCTTTAGTTCCACTTTAGGAAATTATTCACATTTTTGTCTTTGAAAAGCGATCTGCATTTGGGTTGTTCTTCAGAGATCATTTGACAGGCAGTGAGGAAGCATTATATCACCTCCTCAGCACCTGCTTTAACTCCTCAATCACCGCACTAGCGTGCTGCATTGCACATGGTTGAAGAGTGGCCCCATTAATTTGAATTGGTCACATTTAGCCGATGCTACAAAAGTGAGGGTATAATTCCTGCCATGGCCATGAAGCAAGGCATGTGTACACCCCTGCTTAGTGCCTGTAGATCAGTTGGGAAGGGCTTAAAACGCAGCTCAACCATGAGGTTTTACTGACCCTCAACTGCTGTGTGGATGAGCCCTAATAGAACAAGCTGGGGATAAAAGCTGATTGGTTGCCACGCACAGCTCCAGATTCTGTCTTCTCCATGTTTGATAGATTCCCCACAAGTAGGCAGCAACAAGGCACAAAGAGGGTGCAAAGTATGCAGTAATGGGGTGGAAAGTGGGTACTAACATGGCACACAGGGGGGGATTTACTAAAACTGGTGCAGCTGTACAGAGTAGCCAATCAGCTTCCAGGTTTTATTGTCAAAGCGTAGCCTCCCTGGCGATATTCCCAAGTGTAGCTCGGGGTAAAGTTTCAGTACCACAAGCGGTAACCCCCAGCTACACTCGGGCTTACCATGTGGCGATGCTCCTCAATCTGTTCTTCTCTCACCTTGTCCTGCGCTCCCGCGATGTCCCTCCTGCAGTGTCCCCTGTAATGTCCTCCGCCTGATGCCGGCATCTGTCTTCTGGGTTCCGTCCCCTGCGAGCATCGGGACGTACGGGGGACGGAACTGGCGGGAAATTTGACAATGACAAAAAGTGACATTCACTAAAATCACTAAAATCTCATAGTATTCCATTACTGTATCAAAGCATTTCACATACATTTTGTCCCGAGTGCTTTGTCCTGTGCCCTGCCTGCATTTTTACCGTTCTTTCTGCCTGGAAACTGAGAAATGTCCATGGCGTCCAAAAAGCGTCCCTTTAGATCAAAAGCGGTTTTAGACCAGCTAGAGAACAGTGATAGTAAATTAGAACCACTTGTAGAATTGAGTGATAATGATTCGTGGGGATATTCGTCATCAGACACTGAAAACGATTCTGCGACTTTGCTCAGTGATGTGCGAACTTGGCACTATATTTCAGTGTTTTGGGTTTGATTATATTATTGAATTAAATTTATTATTATTGTTTTTATGATTATTTATTAAATTATAATTTATGATTTCGAGTTTCAAATTGTATCATACCCGGGAAGTTTACTAGACTCTTGTTCGGACAGATTTCAGTGAGTTATTCCTAAAAATTACAGGCCTACAATAAAAAAACGACATATTTCCATGCAAAAAAATGTACCGCTTTCAGCACAGAAATACTGACATAATCAGACCGCTAGGGAGGTTAAAGGATATGTTAAGACAAAATTTCATATTCCTGATATGTGTCTGTGTTACCATGTACTTGTATGGAAAAAGTATCCTGTTCTCTTTGTATTACTTCCTTTGTGTGAAATCCCTGGTGTTCCTGCCAGTCCCTCTGTTTGCTATCAAAAACTGATCACACTATGCAAGAGAGAACAGCGCGGTCAGTTCTATAGCTGTGCTGGGAACTTGGCTTGCTTTTCTCCAATGATAAGACTTCTGCTTACACTCCCTTCCCCCCTGTACAGCCATTCACTGGGGAGATGAGTGTACTGCTGTTTCTCTTCCCCTAGCTCTTATGCAACTGACAACAGAGGGAATGTGATCACTTATAAAAAGGTGGAAAAAAAGGTGTATATAATGTTTTGTATATCTATAGTCAAATGATTTACCTTTCATTTATATTTAAACTTGAATGGATTGTTTTACAAGGTGAGGGTTTTCAGTCACTTTAATTGAACAAGCTGAAGGCTAGGTTCACACTAGTGTGGCTCTGCAAGCCACATTTGGGTGGGAACAGCAGCCCATTCAAACAAATGTGTGCTGTGACTGCGTTTCATGCAGGAAAAAGGTTCCTGCATCATTTTTAAAATGCAGCAGCAGGGAAAAGCACCATGCGATTTCTCAATGGTTCCTGCATCCACAAACATGTTGAGTTTTTAGATGTGTGGGGGGTGCCTAGAAGAATGAATGGCAGGCTTGCCTGACTGTAAAGAGCAGCACATCTTGGCTGCGGCCATAGGAACAGGTGTGATTCCTGCACCCACAACCACCCGCACAAGTGAACCTAGTCAAAGTAAGAAGCTGATTGGTTACTATGTACAGCTGCGCTAGCTTTAGTAAATCTCCTCCATAGTGAGTGCTATGAAGGCACAAGGTAGGTGCTAACTGGGCACTAAGTGGGTGCTGATAAAGGGCAAGATGAGCAGTAATGGAGGCCAAGGTGGGTGCTAATGGACACTAATGGAGGCCAAGGTGCGTGCTATGAAGTTCCCAAGTGGGCACCTACGGGGGGCAAAATTGATGCTAAAGAGGTGCAAAGTATTTTTTTCTACTTTAATGCAAGAGGAGGAACTAAAAATATGAATATTAAAAAAGTAACCAAAGTTCCACTTTAGTTATGGATTCCTAGCAAAAAACATGACATTTCTTTTCTGTACAGTTGTACTGTTTTATACAAAGTAACTTTTCAGCAGCTCCCTGTTCTGCCTGTGTCATGCCTACCAGCTGAAGAAGTTGAGTTTAAATTTAGAAGGCCATTAACAAGCTCTGGTCATCATATCACACATACTAGAAGATTTGAAACGGTTGAAGAGATATATTCCATTCACATCTTGCTGTAAAGGGGTTTTCCACTTTTATGTGAATAATGCAAACCTGTGGGAGGGGATGGCACAGAGAGGCCTGGGCCGATCAGCCACTATCAAAGAAACTGCCGAGAAAGAGGAACGCACAGAGACATTTTCAGCAGGTTTCCGGATAGTTCCAAAAGCTCCGACAGCCCTCTGATGTATCTGAATGATGAGGGCTCAATAGGGAAATCTTATTATAGTGCAAGTTCACCTCTGTATCTAAAAAAAGGAAACACGGCTGTACCGATATATTTCATTTAGAAAAGAGGAAATCGCTTCAGAAAGGGCACAGGAGAGGGTCTCGGGTCATGGCACCTTGTGCTTCTCTGATCTTAGCAGCCCTTTTCATTGTAGTTTAATGTAACATTCACTTCAAGCACTGAACGTTTTTTAATTTAGTTGTCATGTGGCTTAAAGGGCTCTTTCACATGGACAGTGGTAAAAAGAGGCAGCTGAGCTGCGATTTTACTGTCCCCCCCCCCAGACACACACCCATTACTAATATAACAACCTGACAGAGCTGTGCACATGTCGTAGCTGTGATGCTTTGCTTCCCAGACGATGCATTTCTAACTCTTAATCGCAGATTTTGACCGGCTGGCACAATCTGTCAAATCAGCCTATTAAGATTATTGGGCAGCGCTGCAACCGCAAGCCAAATGCAGATTTTGAGAGTTTTTTTTCAGGTTTTTACAGGTGGCACCAAACTAGCCTATTGAGATCATTGAGGCTGCACTGCAACTGCAAGCCAAATGCTCAGCTTGCAGTTGCAGTGCGATTTTTATTTATTTATTATTCAACAAAATGCCACTTGGAATTAAAAAAAAACAAACAAAAAAAAACAAACGTTTAGGTGGTGGCAGGTTTGGAACACCTCCCAACCGCTGCTATGGCGCCCCTGAAAAAGTAATCCACCATTGATCCCTTTTTCAGAGGACAGTAAGCGTTGTCGCCTGTCTGAAAGAAGCCATAGTGACTCTATCAGCTTTAAAAAAGATTTGAGCAAAATGCTCCCTGCAGTATAAGAGGGATTATATAGTCACTTGTCTGGCAGCTGGAACTCCTACCTTTACTCTGTTCCACTGCTGGGCCTCTGCCAGAAAGCCTTAATCACTTTAGGGAATTTCTGACATCCATACCCCCGACACACACTATGGTTCCACCCTTCAAATCCTTTGTTACTACAGGATACAGCTGTGGCATAGATGGAACCACAGCCAGTCTGTGGGGGGGGGGGGGGGGCACAAGCATCCAGCGGTAAGGTAGGGACACGGTTCTGCTTTCTCTCTGGTGAGGATAGACAGGTGAACAACCTTTGGATGTGTGGTTAGGGGTGCCTAGTACAACTAGTACAAACTTCATCTCACATGAAATTCCTTTATAATATTTATTTAATGCGGAACTACAATGCATCTGAGCACCACAATCCAAAATGCTTTTTAATTCATTTTTAATGCTCAAAGCAAACTCACCCATCCATCCATGTCTCCTTGTTACACCCCCTAGGATTTCTGTCTTGAGTAAGGGCAGACAATTCTTGTAGCCTTTTACTTCCTGAAGTCCATCTGCCCTTAGCTCAGGCATGTAGGCAGGAGGGTGTGCTTAGCTGAGAAAATCCCTCCCTTTCTCTGGAAGACTCCTGAGATTTATGAAATCTCCTGGGCCTGGAAACCAGGAAGTAACTGAAGAAATGTAAAAAAAAGTTTAGAATAAGTATATATGATATACATTTCCTATCTATTTACTAATGCTAGCAGCATAAGGAATGGGTGCTCTTGAACACAGAAAAACAGCCATACTGCTAATGTAAAAGATACAGTATATCGTTTGTTAAATACAATATGAGACAACATAACATCCTAACCGCTAAAAAAACATTCAAAATTGCATATGTTTCATGCAGAAGACCTTGAAAATGTAGATATCTTTTGAAATCAGTTAAACAATTAGTGTATCAATCAACAAGCGCATACAAAATGAGTATTTTTATAATGGTTGCAAAATTGATTGCTTTTGTAGACCCCAAAGGGTGCTTTGCAAGGGCACCTACCTGGGGACAACCTGGATTCTATAAATTAACCACAAGTGTATGAAAAAAGTAACACCAATAGTATTCACAAGCACTGCACTAATCACTATGTACAAAACGTTCTGTGGATGCCCGCACTACCTTCTTGTTAGTTTATTTTTTTATTGTAATTTTTTAATTTTTATTTTTTTCTTTAGACCGGCTTAGGGGTAACGGATTGTGGCCAACAGGAGTAGAAAATGTTTCAGCGTGAGCATAAACAATGCTTCAGGCTTGGTGATCAGTGAGAGGGAAAAAAAAACATAAAACCTGTGGTCAGTAGGAGAAGGATAGTGCCCCATCATTGGTATTAGTGGGAGGAATAGTGCCCCATCATTGGTGTCAGGGGAATGAATAGTGCCCCATCATTGGTATTCGTGGGAGGAATAGTGCCCCATCATTGGTATTAGTGGGAGGAATAGTGCCCCATCATTGGTGTCAGGGGGAGGAATAGTGCCCCATCATTGGTATTAGTGGGAGGGATAGTGCCCCATCATTGGTATTAGTGGAAGGAATAGGGCCCCATCATTGGTGTCAGGGGGAGGAATAGTGCCCCATCATTGGTATTAGTGGGAGGGATAGTGCCCCATCATTGGTATTAGTGGAAGGAATAGGGCCCAATCATAGGTATCATTTGGAGGAATAGTACCCCATTATTTGTATTGGTGGAGGAAGAGTGCCCCATCATTGATACTAGTGAAGGAATTGTGCCCCATCATTGATACTAGTGAAGGAATAGTGCCCCATCATTGATACTAGTGGAGGACTAGTATCCCATCATTGGTATTAGTGGAAGGAATAGTGCTCAATCATAGGTATCATTTGGAGGAATAGTGTCCCATCATTGGTATTGGTGGAGGAATAGTGCCCCATCATTGATATTATTGGCAAGGAATTGTGTCCCATCGTTGATATTGGTGGAGGAATAGTGCCCCATTGATATTGGTGGAGGAATAGTGCCCCATTGATATTGGTGGAGGAATAGTGCCCCATCATTGATATTGGTGGAGGAATAGTGCCCCATCATTGATATTGGTGAAGGAATAGTGCCCCATTGATATTGGTGGAGGAATAGTGCCCCATTGATATTGGTGGAGGAATAGTGCCCCATCATTGATATTGGTGGAGGAATAGTGCCCCATCATTGATATTGGTGGAGGAATAGTGCCCCATCATTGATATTGGTGGAGGAATAGTGCCCCATCATTGATATTGGTGGAGGAATAGTGCCCCATCATTGATATTATTGACAAGGAATTGTGTCCCATCGTTGATATTGGTGAAGGAATAGTGCCCCATTGATATTGGTGGAGGAATAGTGCCCCATCATTGATATTGGTGGAGGAATAGTGCCCCATCATTGATATTATTGACAAGGAATTGTGTCCCATCGTTGATATTGGTGAAGGAATAGTGCCCCATTGATATTGGTGGAGGAATAGTGCCCCATCATTGATATTGGTGGAGGAATAGTGCCCCATCATTGATATTATTGACAAGGAATTGTGTCCCATCGTTGATATTGGTGAAGGAATAGTGCCCCATTGATATTGGTGGAGGAATAGTGCCCCATCATTGATATTGGTGGAGGAATAGTGCCCCATCATTGATATTATTGACAAGGAATTGTGTCCCATCATTTATATTGGTGGAGGAATAGTGCCCCACCATTTATTTTATTGGAGGAATAGTACCCCAACATTGGTATTAGTGGAAGGAATAGTGCTCCATCATAGGTATCATTTGGAGGAATAGTGCCCCATCATTTGTATTGGTGGAGGAATAGTGCCCCACCATTTATTTTATTGGAGGAATAGTACCCAACATTGGTATTAGTGGAAGGAATAGTGCCCCATCATTGCTATTGGTGGAGGAATAGTGCCTCATCATTGATATTATTGGCAAGGAATTGTGTCCCATCATTGTTATCAGTGAAGGAATAGTGCCCCGTCATTGGTACAAGTGGAAGGGGGCTATTGTTGGTGTCGGGAGCAAGAATTATGCCTCAATGTTATTGTCAATGAGAGAACTAGTGCAAGTATCAGTGGGAGGAATAGTGCCCCGAAGGCCCAGTAAATGCTAGCAAAGTAAAGTGTGCAGTTTGGAGAGCACTGTTAACACTCTCAGCTATGTTTGGAATATAGATAGCTGTAACAATTGTACAATATTGGTAAGGATGTTCATAGTTGTCTTTAGTATATAGGTGATTTGGGGTGCCATTTACAATGAGTGGCACTGCAAGCATGACACGTGAATTGGTGTGTTTTGTGAATGCATGCAACCTTGAGCAATTGTGTTCACTACTTTGACTACTGTGACATGGATGCAGTGCAGTAGTGTGTTGGTTTATACACTAATTTCATCTGGTACCTACACATTTCAGAGGGCTCCTATATGAATTGTGTGGGGGTTTTAATTCTTTTTATCACTGTGGGTGTTATGTCTCTCATATTGCTGTATTTAATAATATATGATGTTTTACTTGAACAGAACATCTGTGAGGGGATTGTGGTTGCTTTAAATTTTAAAGAAGGAAACTGGGGGGGGGGATTCGATTTACTACAGGCAAATAGACTGTGCACTTTGCAAGAGCTTAGTATGTGAGGTGTCGCTTCACTTTGCAACGAATATCCAATCACATGCAAGGAAAATTAACCTCCCTAGCGGTATAATTATGTCAACATTTCTGTGCTGAAAGCGGTACATTTTTTTGCATGGAAATATGTCGCTTTTTTATTGTAGGCCTGTAATTTTTAGGAATAACTCACTGAAATCTGTCCAAACAAGAGTCTAGTAAACATCCCGGGTATAATAAAACTTGAAACACGAAATCATAAATTATAATATAATAAATAATCATAAAAAATAATAATAATAAATTTAATTCAATAATATAATCAAACCAAAAACACTGAAATTTGAAATATAGCACCAAGTTCGCACATCACTGAGCAAAGTCGCAAAATCGTTTTCAGTGTCTGATGACGAATTTCCCCACAAATCATTATCACTCAATTCTGCAAGTAGTTTTATTATTATTGTTATCATTATACATGATTTATATAGCGCCGACAGTTTGCTCAGCGCTTTACATTATGGTGGGAGGCAGTATACGAGACAGTACAGTAACAATACAATTCAATACAAGAGGGGTTCAAGGGCCCTGCTCCTTGGAGCTTACAATCTAGGAGGGAGGGGATAGTGGTACAGGACGAAATAGCTGTGGGGGATAGAGTGGTTAGAGGAGTTCAGTATTAGCTGAGGGCGGGGTAGGCTTCCCTGAAGAGATAGGTTTTCAGAGTGCGCCTAAAGGTGAGCAGAGTAGGTGATAGTCTGATGGATTGGGGTAGGGAGTTCCAGAGGATGGAGGAAGCTCTGGAGAAGTCCTGGAGATGAGCATGGGAGGAGGAGACAAGGGAGCTAGAAAGTAGGAGGTCTTGTGAGGGGCAGAGAGTACGGGTTGGGTGATATTTGGAGACAAGATTGGTGATGTAATTTGGGGCAGTATTATGAGCGTCTTTATACGTCAGTGTTAGCGTTTGGAATTTTATCCGTTGGGCAATGGGAAGCCAGTGGAGGGATTGGCAGAGTGGGGTGGCGGATACAGAACGGTTAGTAAGGTGGATGAGTCTGGCCGCAGCATTCATGATAGACTGGAGTGGGGATAGCCTGCGGTGAGGTAGGCCAATGAGGAAGGAGTTACAGTAGTCGAGGCGTGCTATAATAAGGGAGTGAATGAGTTGCTTAGTGGTTTCCGAGGTCAGGAATGGTCTAAATTACTATCACTGTTCTCTAACTGGTCTAAAACCAATTTTGACCTAAAGGGACGCTTTTTGGACGCCATGGACGTGTCTCAGTTTCCAGGCAGAAAGAACAGTAAAAAATGCAGGCAGGGCACAGGACAAAGCACTCGGGACAAAATGTATGTGAAATGGTTGGATACAGTAATGTTATTCTATGTGATTTTAGTGTATTTAGTGAATGTCACTTTTTGTCATTTTCAAATTTCCTGCCGTTCGTCCCCCGTACGTCCCGACGTCGCAGGGGACAGAACCCAGAAGACAGATGCTGGCATCCGCCGGAGGACATTACAGGGGACACTGCAGGAGGGACATCGTGGGAGCGCAGGACAAGGTAAGAGAAGAACAGATCCCGGAGCAGCGTTGCATGGTAAGCCCCAGTGTAGCTCGGGGTTACCGCTTGTGGTACTGAAACTTTACCCCGAGCTACACTTGGGAATACTGCCAGGGAGGCTACAAAAAAAACAGCATTTTTGCTTGTATATGATTGGATGATGGATATCAGCAGAGCTTCCCCTTATTTGCTAACCCCTGTAGCAATTTCCCTTGTAGAGTGCACAGTCTATTTGCCTTTAGTAAATCAGGCCCTGTATGACTAAACACCTCTTTCATTAAAAACCCTTTACCAAACATGCATAAAAGATCACGGTTGGCTCCTATACTCTGGCAGGGCATATGAGGTCAGGTCTTTGTATTTCTTCCCAACACTTTGCCAAGATTTAGGGTCTGTCATTTGAATAGTCCTATCACTGACAATAACTCACCAGCGATGGGATCTCTAGGCTACAATTTGCCTGTTTTAATGGCTCCCTTGCTAGCTGGAACATTGAGATGTTGATCCTTCGCTAGCGAGGTACTTTTACCAGTGTCCCAGGCCAGGAAGGGAGAGATTCCATAGAGGCAGGTGGAAGCCTCTCTGGAGAAATTCTGTCACCTGCAGCAGAGTCCCCTGTGTGCCATCAGCCTCAGTTTCCAGTTGTCAGTTCTGTTTTTGTATGTAGTGTAGACGTGGCAAAACAAAGCAGAATAAGAAAAAACAATTAAAAGATACAATGTAAACCTTGTGCTTCAGTGCTGGGCTCTGAGCTTACACTGTATCAATTCAGTGAAATCAGTCTTTGTAAAAAAAAAAACTTCTAGTGTTGACTGAATGTGATGACACATTTCTGCCCAAAAAATAAAGGAACATGATGTAAAAAAGTAGAAATCCTCTAACATTTACTTAACATTATTATTCTACTGGATTTATACAGCGCCAACAGTTTGTGCAGTGTCCTACAAATAGTACAGTTATGATACAGTTCAATACAAGAGGGTTAGGGTCCTTTCACACGGGCGTTCCGTTGTTTTTCTTCAGTTCAGTCACGATTTTTCAAAGAAAAAAACGGATGAGTTTACATCCATTTTTTCATTAGTTTTTTCATACATTTACATTGTTTTACATCCGTTTACATCTGTTTTCAGTCCATTTACTTTTATCTGTTTACATCCATTGACATCTGTTCTTTGTCCGTTCCGGGGTTTTTTTGCGGAAGAAAAATAGGATTTTCTTCTGTTCAAAAAAACATGTTAACGGATGCAGACATTAACGGATGTAAAAAGATGTTCATCTGTTTGCATCTGCGAGTCCATAGAAATACATGGGGGTCCGTTTTTCATCCGTCCGTTTAGGAGGCCTTAGGAGGGCCCAGCTTAGATGTTATATAACCGAATGGCATTTAGTTTGATAAAGCACTATTACATCCATGTTGCATCTGTGTACTGCTTATCTCCTGCAGCCCTTTGCAAGCACTTCCTGTCTACATCTACTCCAGTGATGGCTCCATGGCATTTCGTAGGGCGGGTTTCCTGATGGTAACAATAGTGGATCATGGCTGTGCAGTGAGTGTTGAAATGTCCACTTGTAGGTTCCAGTAGCCTCCCTGACGGTATTCCAGAGTGTAGCTCAGATTAAAGTTTCAGTACCAAAAGCGGTAACCCCAAGCAACATTCGGGCTTACCATGCGGCGCTGCTCCGGCATCTGTTCTTCACTTATCTTGTCCTGCACTCCCACGATGTCCCCGGCAATGTAATCCGGCGGATGCTGGCATCTGTCATCTGGGTTCCGTCCCCTGTGAGCGTCGGGACGTACGGGGATGGAACGGCGGGAAATTTGAAAATGACAAAAAGTAACATTCACTAAATACACTAAAATCACATAGTAAAACATTACTGTATCAAAGCATTTCACATACATTTTGTCCCTATCCCTAGTGCTTTGTCCTGCACCCTGCCTACATTTTTACTGTTCTTATTGCCTGGAAACTGAGAAACATCCATGACGTCCAAAAAGTGTCCCTTTATGTCAAAAGCTGTTTTAGACCAGCTAGAGAACAGTGATAGTAAATCAGAATCACTTGCAAAATTGAGTGATAATGATTCGTGGGGAAATTTGTCATCAGACACTGAAAACGATTTTGCGACTTTGCTCAGTGATGTGCGAACTTGGCGCTATATTTCAAATTTCAGTGTTTTTGGTTTGATTATATTATTGAATTAAATTTATTATTATATTATTTTTTATGATTATTTATTAAATTATAATTTATGATTTTGTGTTTCAAATTTTATACCCAGGATGTTTACTAGACTCTTGTTCAGACAGATTTCAGTGAGTTATTCCTAAAAATTACAGTCCTACAATAAAAAAAATACATATTTCCATGCAAAAAAATGTACCGCTTTGAGCACAGAAATATGGACATAATCAGACCGCTAGGGAGGTTAAGGGAGCAAATGACAGGGTGACAACACAGAAGCACAATTGACAGACAGTAACAGTTGTCACACTATAGCAATACCTGACTGAACAAGGACCTTCATTTATGGAACATCTGGTTTTTTGCTTTCATGAAAGCTACAGTATTAAAAATAATGACTTTAAAGCTTATGTGAGATATTAGTTGACGTTAACTGCTAAATGTATGTATTCGTGAACTTTAAATAGTCCCTTTAGCCTAAGCTGGTCAAAACTATTTCCTTCACTAACACATGCAGTGGTTGTCAGTTCTGTATGAACTCTGAGCTCTGTAAGAGCTACATACAGTATACAGCACTGTGTTGCTGCAGCGGGATGGGGACTTTCCGTCCTGCTCCCAGAATAAAATTGCAGCTATTGAAAGTCATGTTCTTCTGAATGAATACAAAGCTTTCTCTGATTGGCTGAGCCAGAGATTGTGACATCATCTGCCAGCCTTTCCACTTTAGCCAATCATAGGAAGCCTTGTATTCATTCAAAAAAGGCTTTGTGTGAATGGCTGAGCAACACTTAGCTCAATTTAATTTTTCTATCAGAAGTGAGAAGGGACATTATTTTGATGCCAATGTACTTAAGTATCTGAGGCCACATGCAGTTCATACAGAGCTGACAGCCGCTGCATATGTTGGCAAGGGAAATAGTTGGTCCAAATGAACTATTTAAAGTTCAATAAAACATGGCAATAGGCTAAAACAACGGGTTCAATAAAAGTAGATGTAAACCAAATTACAAGAATCCCCTTTAAATGTAACATTTTAGTGTGATTTCAAAAGTAATTTTCAGTCATTTTAAATCTGCAGCTTTTATGAAAATAATATCTGTGATCCTGCCATGGAAGTTAGGATGCTTCCTGTTATGGGTGACAACTGTGTCCCAATTTTGCTCCTGTCAAATAGTCCACCATTGTTGCTATTAGGAGATCAGCCCAGAGCAGTGATGTGCAGTTGATGCTGGGAATGTGGTGGAGTCAGCAGCAGAAAATGTTTTAACCAGTTAAACCCCTGTTAAACTTTGGGTGGTTATACCAGGATGATGCCTGCAGCTACAGGCATCCTCCCGGTATCTGTGTTTTTACAGCTGGCAATAAAGTTCTTCAGAGCCTCCCCCATCCTATGGAACTCTCTGTCCCAATCTATCCAACTATCGCCTACTCTACCCACTTTTAGGCGATCTCTGAAAACCTATCTCTTCAGGGAAGCCTATCTGTCACAGATTAAAACGCACGCCCACAGCGACTAGCTAACCGAGGCATGGTCCGAGACTGGGGTAAAGAGGGAATGAGGGGGACTTTGAACAGCCTGCACTACCTCTGGCCACCACTAGAGGGAGACTCCACTCCAATCTAGCTGGCTGACCACACACAGGCAGATATGAATCTTATATAAAATCTGGTCTGGTGAACTCTAAACTCTATTGCATACAGATTGGCAATGTACTGTACTTAGACCGAGCACATAGACAGTACAATACAACAATCTCTCCGGAGATAAGAGCCCGAGCGTAAGTACCCAGAAGTCACTTATTAATTTTATGATTTAATATCCCAAAATTGGGCAGTGCATAAAATATGTACAAAAGATAAAAAGAGTTACAGAAAATGCAAAAGACAAAAAGAACACAATTGTCTATTCACTATAAGATAAACGGAATAAAGACAGAAATAAAACTTTTACCAAGATTTATCTTGCGACTGTAGCAAGTCAAAGAAAGTCCGTGATTCGCCAGTCATATGGAACCGTCTCTGTACGAATCACCTCGTCCATATCTCAGGGTTCTCAATTTATTGAAATATGGACGTGGGCTTGACTTTAGCCCTTGGCCAATCAACCCTGGGATGTTCTCATCCCAGCCCACAAGATGTTCTGTGTTCTGAAGTGCCCAATCTCGAATGGGCCAGAAACGGTTCTGATCACTGGGTCAGGGTCAGGTTTTGATCACTGGGCCAGCGCGTCAGTCTGATTGCGTCAATACCAATCATTGTTCAGCTGTCGCAATCAAACACCATATAACCATTTTATGTGTTTCTTCGGGATTCTACAGAGGCTGCAAATACACTTTTACATGTAGATGTAGCCTAAAATGTGTTCAAGCAGAAGGAATTATTTTAATCTCTCCGCAACTAATATTTTAGCTTTCATGAGAGATGAAATAGATTCCTCTGATCTGTGGATATAAATCAGAGCAGGCAGACATTTCGGAGGCCTCTCCTGGTCCCCTGCGGTTTCTTGAAGCTGAAATGGCTAGATCTCTTCTTTTAGATTTCAAGAAGGTGGCAAACTCTGGCTACATAGGTGAGAACGTTTTATTGGCATCTAGCTGTCACATCCAGCCTAGGAGCCTACTCTGTCATTTCAGATGCTAATTGGTGAACATATGTCTACGACTGAATACTGAACACTGATCGTAATAACATGGAATGAAACTAGATCTACAATTACATATTTCTACTGATCACATCACAGCTCAACTAACCTACTCTTACATTTATGTTACACTATCCTGCCTCAGTTATTATCGGAATCTTCTATTCCTCCTATCAGTTCATCCCTCACAGTTATTACCTTTTGTACCACCAGCCCCTCCCTCTTAGATTGTAAGCTCCAAGGAAATGAAGCACACAGGTGGTGCAAACACCTAGCGCATTATCCAAGGTTTATTGTACAAGGTTTATTGAAAATTTTCATCTCTGAGGAAGGGGATAGGTCCCAGAAATGCATCAGCAGGTTGACCGTACCATTAGTCAGACACTCTGCCATCATTGAGGGCCATTATTGTGGAGTTTAGGCTTTTGCATATACTTCATATTGTATGTTTGTCTTTTTTTTTTTCTTGTACAATAAACCTTGGATAATGCACTAGGTGTTTGCACCACCTGGGTGCTTCCTTTCCAGTTTTGATGATTTCCCAGTCTGAGGAGGGCTGCACCACCAATAATTTATCCATAGGCTATCATCTCGTTGAACTGCCTGGCCTCTTCCTGGCATTCACCCCCCCTCCCCCTTTTTTTGAGGTGCTGGAGAGGTAGTGCTTTTCATCCAGTAAGCTCAAAGGAGCAGGGCCTTCCTAACCCTCTTGTATTGAACTGTATCGTTGCCGTATTATCTCTCTTTATATTGTAAAGCGCTGAGCAAACTGTATAGTAATAATAATAAAAATAAAAGTGATCCTATTGGTTAATTTGCTGCTGGAACGCTTTCATAGGCTGCTGAAAGGGGTGTCCCACCCCACTGCTGCCTTCTGACACCTTTCAGGGCTCTCCCATCCTGACCATAGACGTGATCGAGGACCATCTCTATGGTCTAAGAAACTGGAAGTGACAAGTATTTTGTTAGTTCCTTTTTGCCGGATTTAAACAAGCCATCACTGGCTTAAAGGCTAAGTTCACTTTTTTTTTTAAATAAAATCCAGCTCCCCTATGCACCAATATACCATTAATGTACCTCAGTTGAAAAAATATTCAAGCTCTCTTTGGTCTGAAGAGCACGGCCTTACTTTTGCCCTTGTAAACTTCTTAGAAAGCTTTTTCAATTCCTGGAATGTAGACAGAGGACAGAGGAGACAGTAGGACCCTGAAAGCAGATCATCATCTGATCTCATTAGCACACACATCCTGCACTGACCTCATTAGTACACACCCTTCACCCATCAACTATTTTTTCACAGCATCCCCAGGATCTCTCCCCACATGCATTTGCCTGGCTACCCCAGTATCCCTTCAGACGAGCTCAGGCCACATGCAGCTCACGGGACACCCCTGATGCAATGCAAGGGCCTGCTTGATTGGGTATAGAATGATTGGATAGATGCTGCGTTCTCCTATTATATTGTTTTGGTAAATCTAAAGGAGATTGTACAGAGATTGTACAATCAAATTGTACAGTGTATGGCCACATTTATTCACCTAAAATTAACTAGTTGCGCTTTCAGTGTCATTCATTGTTAAAGGCACACCAAACACAGAAACAAGCACACATTTTGCCACATGAAAAAACGGGTGACAAATGCAGCAAAACGTGCAGTAAAAAATGTGCAACACGCACCACGCCAAAATATCCCATGAGCTACTTTGCCATGTTTAGAGCAGCCCATTGAAATCAACTGGCTGCCCTTTGTCACTGGAAAAATGAGCCAAAAAAACATATGCTCCCTGGGGTGAATGGGGCCTGAAAGTGAAATTAGTGCATATACACAGAACAAAGAGGCTCCATTCACATCTGTGTGTTTCCAAATGCATGGCAATCTGCACAAAAAATGCACGCTTTGCCAAGACGAATGCATGCGGGAATGTAAGTCTTCACTACGTGGAGATGTGAATGGGGCCTGACAACTGAGTGTCTCTGTCCACTCCCTCCTATGTTTTTGTATAAAGATGGCCATACATTATGCAAACTGATTGATTGATTGTACAATCTCTGTACAATTTCCTTTAGATTTACCAG